ACTAAGCCCCAGTATATAGTTGTATGTCATAGTTGCACATCCTTCTAGTTGCTGTATGTGGGACGCGGCCTCAGCGTGGCCGGAGAAGCGGTGCTTCGGTGCGCGCCCGGGATCTGAACCCCGGCCGCCAGTAGCGGAGCTTGTGCACTTAACCACTAAGCCACGGGGCTGGCCCACCCTGAAAAATATTTTTAAATTGTTTGATACAAAGAGCTGAATTGCTTTCTAAAATGATTTTATCAAAATATACTCTTACCGGCAGTACATAAATGTTCCTTTTACCCTGATCTCTAAGAAATTATAATTGTAGACTAAATCCATGTGTTTTACCCTGATCATTGTTTTGACTTTTTTCACTCAGATAAATCTCACTCACTGAACTTCAGTTTTTCTATATATAAAAAAGAACAATTTTTTTTTTTTTTTTTTGGTGAGGAAGCATGTCCTGACAAGCGGTGCCTTGGTGCGCGCCTGGGATCCGAACCCGGGCCACCAGCAACTGAGTGCGCACACTTAACCGCTACGCCACGAGGCCAGCCGCCCAAAAAAGAACAATTTTAAATGTACTTATTAGGCTTAATTATCATCATCATTAGGTTGAATGTGCATTTCTGAGTTTTTAATGTTTAAATAAAACAGACAAAAGGATTACAATCACCTCATCTTCTACCTCTTTCACACACTGACTGAAACACTGTATTTTAAAATTGTTAGAACCACTTTCAGAAATTGTTGGCAATATCTACTAGTGCTCAATATACACATATATTATGACTCAGCAGTTCTACTCCTAGGTATTTACTCAACAGAAGTGCATACGTAAGCTCACCAAAGACAGCACAAGAATTTCATGGCAGCACTATTTGTAATAAAAATTGGAAAAACCCAAATTCTATCATCAGTGGAAAAAATAAATCGAATTGTATATTTATACAATTGAATACTATTCAGCAATAAGAATGAATAAATTACATAGAACAACGTAGATGAATTCATATACATAATGTGGAGCCAAAGAAACCAGCCACAAAAGAGTATACACTGTGATTCCACTTATGTAAAATTCAAACAGGCAAAATTAATCTATGGTATTAGAAATCAGAATAGTAGTGTCTTTGGGAGGAAGTAGTGACTAGGAAGGGAGCATGATGGGGGCTCACTGACAAAAGTTCAGTTTCGTGATTTGAGTTCTGGTTACACACGTGTACTCCATTTGTGAAAAAAATATTGAGCTGTAAACATAATTTGTACAATTTTCTATGTGTATATATATATGTGTGTGTGTGTATATATATATGTATATATGTTCTACTTTTAAACAGGTTTTTTAAACTGCTATGTTTTAATTCCCAGACTTCTCCTGAAGTCTAAGCATTTATTTTTTTTTAAACTTGAAACTGTTGCAGGTATTGCAAGGAAATGTAACCTCTAAAATGAATTTCTTTTGGAATTTTAATATGGGGCTTATATCTTGTTCTTAAGTATTGTAGTTCTAAGGTTTTTTGGTGTATGATTTTGAACAGTTTTAAGGAGTAGGGGATTTTAATTAATACAGTTCAAGCATACCCTGGAATAATTATTTAATAGGGTAAGGGTAATGCCACAGTTTTTTAAACACCTTAAAGTATTTATAAAAGACACAAGAGAAGTCTGGTAAAATGATTATTATAGTCATTGAGGCCCTTTTTAATATACAAATAAACATGTAGTACTTAGAATCCTAAAGACATTAATCAATTTTTTTTCTTAAATTTTGCAGTGTGTGATTAATAAAGTTTCAAAAATAGAAGAAATAGACACAGATGTTGTTATGAAGTAAGTATAAATATTAGATTGGGGGTTATTAGGGAAAAGATGACACATTAGAATAAGGAGGATTTAGTTAAGGAATTATTTACTAAGGTATGGGCAGAATGTAGGAAAATCCCAAGTGACAGTGCAGTACGTTTAAGGGACAAGGGAAGAGAGCAGTTAATAGAATTCAGAAGGAGAAGGATGTGTAGTGGTTGAAAAGAAAGACATATAGTTTGTTGAAGTGATCTTCAGTGGAGGGAGGCAGTCATCCTCAGGCAACCCCTCAGGGAGGGAGATGGAGCTATAAGTACCTTTCCTCCTTCCAGTCTTTTGTAAGAGCTCTTCATTGACCAAGCCCAGCAGGTCAGCCTCCCAGGCAGAGAGGTTGGAGAGGATACAACGTAGTAGATATAGAGGGGGGAAATGGAAGATCATCCATTTCAGAAGAATAGCAGTGTTAAATTTAAATTATTTAGCTATATAATTAAAATCCAGCTTCCAATTGGCTTTGAGAAGTTTGAGTACGTGATTTTGAATCACCCATGTCTGTAATTTTTTGTTCTCACCCTTGAAATTCCTGTTCTTTTATTTTGAGAAGAATAGCGATAAATATTTTATGACTCTGAATTTCTCATTCATATAGATATCTAAACTTTATTAACTGGCCTAAGATATGAATAGCAATATGGACAACTGTGAAACTTCTCTGGGGCAAACTCACAGAATGAGGATTGTAGAGTTTTAATTTTCACGCTATTACCTAGTGAAAACTCAGTTTCAGAATTAGTTAAAGCAACCCTAAAAATAATGCAGGAATCACTAGTAGTTGGAGGAAGGAAGTTTTTGGGACTCTGTTAAAAGCCCTGTGGTCATGTAGAGTCAGTTATTTTTAATTTTTTTCTTCCCTAGGGAGTTTTCTCAACTTAAATAGGGAACTTCTTGTATGTCAAGTATAGGAGTATCTTTTAAGAATAAACTCCTAGCTGCAGCAGCATTTATTAAAAATTTAGAGTAAAAAGTCATTGTAGTACTATAAAATATCTTTATGGAATTCTACTTTGCATTAATTTTTTTATCTTGAAATTATTGATTGATGTCAGCAATAAAAATATTGGTTATACTATTATCTATTATACTAATACAATATCTTGTATATATACTAGATACATGTAATATATACTAGATGTATTATATATATATTATACTAGTATAATATTGGCTAATACATAGCACTTTTTAATGCACTGTGCATTGTTCTAAGTACTTCTTATTAACACAGTTAATATTCACAGCAACCATGTAAGGTAGATTCTGTTACTTTGCCCATATTAAGATGAGAAAATTAGAGCATGGAGGGGTTAACTCATTTGCCAAGGGTCATACAACTAGTAAGTGGCAGGGTTGGAACTTGAACCGAGGCAGTGTGGCCCAAGAGCCAATGCTCTTAGCCACTGTGCGATATTACCTTTCTTATGTGGAAAAGTACTTTTTAGTTTGTAGTTAGAAAAGTAGGTTATTAAGTTTATTGAGGGAGATAGTATGTTCCTATTTTTATTCTAGAACTTATCTTCGCCACCTTTAACCAAAATTGGTTTATTTCTCTGTGATTTTTCATCCAGTAGTCACGAGGCATGTTCACATGGAATTACTATATGATAAGATTCTTAAGTCAGTATACTTGACTAGACTAGTCTTAGAGATGTTTAAACAAGGAGGAGTTGTTTGGTAACTGACCTCTTCAACTCAATTTTATGATTTTAGTTAGATATCTAGGTGAAACTGCATTTTATTCTTCTCTTACTAGATAGTATTTAGTATGATTTCCTCCAATTTGTAGATATTATCATATTGGCCCAAGACATTCATTATTTTTGTTTGAATTAATTTTTTTCTAGGCTTGCAGATCAGATGAGAATGTTGAATTTTCCTCAGTGGTTTGATCTGCTAAAGGATATTTTCTCGAAATTTACAATTTTCCTACAGAGAGTCAAGGTAAGCTGATATGATTATTAGTTTGTCCAGGATATCCCTAAAATTGTCAGCTTTTTAGATATATAATACATATAGAATCAAACTAGAATAAAACACAATTTCTTTGTTTTTGTAATTTTTCTAAAGAGGCTTGGTTTTAAATAAGATTTGAAGTGCTTCAGAGTACTTTGGTACTTTTTATAATTTTAGATGGTTTGTTTTATATTAAAAAGGAAATATAATGCTTACTTGGCATTAAATAGTAGATAATATTTTGTCTTGTGATTTTGTGATGCTTGACTCTGTCTAGATTATCTAGAGGTACAATATTGTGAAACACTCAAAAATCTGTCCCAAACCACGAATTATTCTAGAAATTTAATGTTGATGTAATGGTATTTTTTAACATATAGTTCATATTTAAATTGCTCTACTAATGTCCTTTATTGCAGGTTTTTATTTCATTTTTCCCTCTGGGATCCAATCAAGGATCATGCATTACATTTAATTATTTTATCTCGTTAGTCAAACCACTTAATTTTAAGCCATTCAGTATAAGGAAAAGAACACATGCCACACAGCGTTTTTCAGAAGAAAAGATGTCACAGCCTCTAATACATATTGGTTGGAATTACCAACATGTCATAGCTCTGTTTTAATAAGACAGTCATTAGGAATTACTGAGTGTTAACAACCTACTTGTGAAACTTGATATTCTTTGAATTAGCAGGTATCAGTATTGTGTTGTGTGTGCTAGTTAACATCCCCAGCATTTCCTGAGTATCATGTTTAATGGTCTCGGGGACTTTGGTACTTATCTATGAGATGACTTTTCCTTATTGACATTGGAGTGATGCTAAGTCACATGCAGAAGCTCTCCAGAGTGGGAAAAGTTTTATAAAATGTGATTCACTGTACTTAATTTAGACTCCTCCCAAAATGTTGATCCTACCCATTGAGAGTGATAGATAATAAATCTGTGTCTGTGGATTGCTCAGTAACTAAGGCCATGTTTTTACTTTTCCTTATATTCCCACCGTGACCTTATCACACACACTTCTATTATGCGTGTCTGGATATATAGAACTCCTACATTGCATAGGGTAGAGTTGGCCAACTTTTTGCCAGTAATTTTTTAAGTAGCTATTCCACTTTTAGGTTCTATATCAGTTAAACTAAGCCAAATTATTATTTGATGTATGTATGATGTGGGAACAGTGATTTGTCATAGTTGTAATTTCTCATTTTCACGTATAGGCCACTTCAACTAATGTTTCTATAAAACAGCTTTGAAGATGACATAAAACCTTTAAATATGGTACTTTTTTTCTTTGAAAAAAGTTTGTGGTTCTATAAGGGTATGATTTCACTTAAAAATAATGTTAATTACAAGCTGTTTGTTTTTAATGAAGAATTTTTAAATAACTACAAATTGGAAAGAACCGAGATGTCTAACAATAGAGAAATGGTAACATAAGTTATGTTTGGTATATTCATTACCATGGAATATCATGCAGCCAATGATTTTTAATGATTGGAGAAAATGCATACATTGTAACGTTAAGTGAAAAGGCAAGATATAGACCTACTTATATAGTTTGATCTCAGCTATGTTAAAAATATTTTTTATCTCTTCATCTTCATAGAACAAAGAGACAGCTTATCTTTTTGGTGGTTATCTTTAGGTGGTAGGATTATATATAATTTAAATTTGTTACTCATTCTTTCTTGTTTTTCCTAAATTTTCTACAAAGAGAGGTATTACTTTTATAATCAGAAAAGGTTTTATTTTTTAATAGTGTTTATCATGTTACAGGAATAAATTATTTGAAAATCTTATTTAATTTACCAGAGTTATTAATTTACTATCCTACATTCTTGTATTTATTTCTCAAAAACAAAGGATATTTTATGTCACTCTAATATAAAGTAAATTATATTTTTTAAAAGAAATTAAAGCTTAAAATTTCAGCCAGAACATTTCAGTAATATTTTTAGTGTAAATGGAGAAGAAATTAAAAGTTGGGGGCTTGAAAATTTCATATTTGAGCGATTGTTAACAATTTAAGGATTAAGTTAATTGTGTTTTTTGAATTTTTTTATTGTAGCAAAATACTCCTAACATAAAGTTTACCATTTTAACTATTTCTAATCATACAGTTTAGTGACATTAAGTACATTCACATTGTTGTGCTGCTATCACTACCATTTGTCTACAGAATTCTTTTCATCTCATAAAACTGAAACTCTGAACCTATTAAACAATAACTTCCCATTCCCTCTGTCCACTAGTCCCTGACAACCACCATTCTACTTTCTGCCTCTATGAGTTTGACAACTCTAGGTACCTCATATAAGTATAATTATACAGTATTTGTTCTTTTGTAGCTGGCTTATTTCATTTAGCACAATGTCCTGAAGCTTCATCCATGTTGTAGCATGTGTCAGAATTTCATTCCTTTTTAAGGCTGAATAATATTCCATTGTGTGTATATACCACATTTTGTTCATCCATTCCTCTGTCAGTGGACACTTGGGTTGCTTCCACCTTTTGCCTTCTGTGAACATGGATGTACAAATATTTCTTAGCTGCTTCAGTTCTTTTGGGTATACATCCAGAAGAGAAGTTGCTGGGTTATATGGTAATTCCATTTCTGATTTTTTGCAGTGTTTTCCGTAACAGATGCACTATTTTACCTTCCCACCAACAGTGTACAAGGATTCCAGTTTCTCCACATCCTTGCTGACACTTGTTTTTTTCTCTTTTTTTGATAGTAGTCATCCTAATGGGTGTGAAGTGGTATCTCATTTTGGTTTTGATTTGCATTTTTCTAATGATTAATGATGTTGAGCATCTTTTTGTGTGCTTATTGGCCATTTGTATATCTTCTTTGAAGAAATATCTTCTTTGTCCATTTTTTAATGAGGTTATTTTTTTGTTGTTGAGTTGTAGGAGTTCCTTATATATTCTGGCTGTTAACCCCTTATCAGATACATGATTTGCAAATATTTTCTCGCATTCCATGGGTTGCCTTTTCACTGTGTTGATTGTGCCCTTTGATGCATAGAAGTTTTTAATTTTGATGTAGTCCACTTCATCTATTTTTCCTTTTATTGCCTGTGCTTTTGGTGTCATATCCAATAAATCATTGCCAAATCCATGTCATGAAGCTTTTCCCCTATGTTTTATTCTAAGAGTTTTATAGTTTTAGGTCTTACTTTTAGGTCTTTTATCTATTTTGAGTTAATTTTTGTATATGGTGCAAGATAAAGTTTTAACTTTTCTTTTTTATATGGGTATCCAGTTTTCCCAGCGCCATTTGTTTAAGACTGTCCTTTACCCATTGAATGATCGTGGTACCCTTGCCAAAAATCATTTGACTATATATGTGAGGGTTTATTTCTGGGTTCTATAATCTGTCTCATTGGTCTGTATGTCTGTGTTTATGCCAGTAACACGCTGTTTTGATAACTGTAGCTTTATAGTAAGTTTTGAAATCAGGAAGTATGAGACCTCCGATTTTGTTCTTTACTGTTAATTGTATTTTGAATTTTTATTAAAATTCTTGTTTGTTGTCTATAACCCATAGATTCGGCTGATTTGTATAGCTAAAACAGAAAATAATTCTTAAATGCAGCTTACATTCTCTTTGAGGAATTTTTAGCTCTTGTGTTCATTTTGTTATGTGGGCAAATACACCTGATCTGTCATTTTAGAGACTTATCAATATATGGTTACCAGAGTATTTCATTCACTATTCTCAAGATTGGAAAATTTTTTTTCCTCTAGCTGTTCTGGTGTTTTTGAAACATGAACTTGACTATAAATTGCTGTAATAGGTTAGTTCAGAAAGTAAATCATGTACCTACTGTTGAATCTATTATATGTTATAAAATCTTCTGGCATCCTTAAGCAAGAATGGGTCTGGACTTGGAAAAAAATAATCAGCAAACCTTTAAAACTGTAGGTATGGTGAAAACAGGGAAGAAGAATCCCTAAGAGAACACCTGATACATTGTATATGGAAAATATATTACTGTATTAGCTAAGATGTTGTCAGTTAAAAGGGACAAAGTATTCAAATCAAAGTAATTTAAACAATAAAAGAAATGTATTGGCTCGGGTAACTTAAAAATAGTCCAGAACAAGAATAGGCCTCATACATGGTGTAGTCTTGGTTCTCTAGCTTAGTTTCTTTGTTTTAAGTCACTTCTACCTTCGTTTTTGTTAGCTTCATCTTTATACTAACTAACCTAATTGTAGCAAAATGGCTACAACAGTTCCAGCTCTTTCACAATTGTATACTATATCACCTAGAACACGATTTTTCTTCTCCAGTCATCAAGTGCAAGTCCTTGGCTTTCATTGATTGGACCAATTTAGGTCACGTACCCAATCACTGTGATCAGGAATATGCCATGCACTGATTGGTTTGGGTCTGGATTGTCTTTTCATCTCTGAACTAATCATGTGGCAAGGAGATTGACAGTGCACTGAATGGCCTGTTCAGGACCGACGCCTGAAGTTGAAAAGTAGACTCAGTTTTGCGTGGCTGTATTACTGTGGGGGAGGTGCGGAGTAGATGTTGGGGAGGGAAAGACCATGTTCATCATCAATAGTCTTTTTGTTAAAAAAAAATTAAAGAAAATCAGCAAGACAAAAGAGATAAGGAAGAAGAAAGGCAAAATGAAGATGAGGGAAATAAGCACATTGAAGATTAAGACAGTAATGGGGATTAAAAGCATCAGTGATGGAGTGTTGCTAGGAGGAAGTTTCTGACAATAGAGAAGTTACTGATCAGTAGAGGGAAAAAAATGCAGTATCCGTAGACACTTTGATACTATAGCCTTGAAGACACAGAATCTCTGCTGTATACTGTATGGGCTATTGTATCAATTAGAATGCTTTTAGATCCAAATAACAGGAAACACAAGTCAAAGTGTCTTAAACAATTAGGGAATTTATTAGCTCACATAACTGAAAAATATCCAGAGGTGGGTCAGCCTTTAGTAGGTGCTTAATAGAGAGGCTGATGATGTTATCAAGCCTTGGCTTTGCTTCTCTGCATTTTTCTCAGTCTGTCTTCTGTGTATCTTCTTTAGCTTTAAGCTCTGGCCCATGGTGGTTCCATATGCTGATTGGACAAACTTAGACCCTTATCCTGTCTTTAGAGACCTAAAGTTGGTGTCTGCTTCCCCAGAACCATATAGATCTTGGAAAAAAAAACATCAAGAGTTTTGAGAAAGAGGGCAACAAATTACGGGAATGCAACCATGAATGTTAAAGTAGGCAAGTAGCCCCTTATTTCTTAATAGTCCATGAAGACATTAATTTACATAAATTTACTCTTAATTCATTTAGCTTTCAATATTTATTAAGTACCTCCTACTTGCCCAGAACTAGTCTAGGTATTAGGATTACAGTATCTCATGGAGCTAACATTCTAGTGGAAGGAGACCTCAAATTAAAAAATTAAAAAGATAATGATAACTTATTTTTTAAAAACTGGGTAATGGGATAGAGTTCCTGGAAGAAGAGTCAGAGAAGACCTTTTTGAGAAATGACATTTGTTCAAGAACTTGAATGATAAGAAGGAAACATGTATGCAAAGATCAAGGTGAAGAGCATTCCAGGTAGAGGAAACAACAAAGGCACTGAGATGGGAACAATGGGATTTAGAAGAATAGAAAGAGAATCAGAATGTCTAGAGAGTAGTGAATGAGTGAGAAAAGGCATGAGGTGAGGAGAGAGATGTGGATATAAGGGTAGGCGTGGTAAGTAATATGGATTTTTTTCTTTTAAGCAGGCACATCAATGAATATGATTCCCTGACAGGCAAGTTATGTCTAGTGTAACCTATTAAGAGGTTAGAGAAATACACAATATATTTTAGGGAGATTTCCATTTACAAAATCAATTAAAATACAGAACTGTATTCCTAAGCTTAGGGAACCCATTTCTCTTGAGCAGTTCTATTTCACAAATCACCTTTACTCTGTTTAATAAAAGATTGGTAGAAATTGTGATATGCATGACCTTGACTCATGTATAAAATATTCAAAAGTACATGCATAAAATTCACTTTTGGGAACTTTAGATACAAGGTATTTTAAATCTTTTCAAAATGTATCCTGTTTTCTTGTAGGCAACATTAAATATCATTCACAGTGTTGTTCTCTCAGTTCTTGACAAAAACCAAAGGACTAGAGAATTGGAGGAGATTTCACAACAGAAGAATGCTGCAAAAGATAATTCACTGGACACAGAGGTGGCTTATTTAATCCATGAAGGCATGTTTATAAGTGATGCATTCAGTGAGAGTGAATTAACATCTGTAGCAATTGACACTACCTCTCAAAGAAATGCATCTCCAAATAGCGAGCCCTGCAGCAGTGATTCAGTATCCGAACCAGAATGTACTACTGATTCTTCATCTAGCAAAGAGCAGACATCATCATCTGCTACTCCAGGATGTGTGGATATTGTGTGAGTATGTTGACTGCTGCCAACTTAGCAAGATTTTGAGTCATCTTATTAATGGTATCAATAAGATTAATTATTCAGTTTATTGAAAAACCATGTAAACTTTGGTGTTGGAATTTAATGTAACAAAAATAAATTAATTTTATGAAACGTATCTTTTTGAAAATGTATGGAAAGTAAGGAGGTCAGCATTGGAAGTAATCGAGAATTGCAGAATTTTAAGGCTGGAAAGGAACCATTTAATTAAAGGGTCTCATTTTCAGAAAGTGTAGATGACTTATTTAAAGTTGCTAGTGTCAGCACTTGTCCTGGAACTCAGGTCAATATTACCTTGGTTATTTTTCTTTCTTCTACAGTGTCACCTTTGTATTTTGTATATAGTGAAGATCTGTTTAATTTACAATTTTTAGTTTTTCAAAGACATGAATTTCCAAGTGGATCACCCTATCTTTTTAAACATTACTTTTTAATAATTATTTTGAAATAGTTTCAGATTTACAGAAAAGTTGCCAGAATAGTACAAAAAATCTTGTATATCCTTCACCTTGATTCCTAACAGTTTGCCACATTTCCTTCTTTCTTCTCCCTCCCTTTTTCTCTCTCTCCCTTCCTCTCTCTCTCTCATGTTAATATTTTTTCAGAATCATTTGACAATAGGTTGCAGACTTGATGTCCCATTATCCCTAAATACCTTATTTTATATTTCCTGAATACAATAATACTCTTATATTTCCTGAATACAATAATACTCTCTTAAATAACGACAGCATACCAATTTAAATCAAGAAAACATTGAAACATTATTATCATCTAATCCATAGACCCCATTCCAATAATGGTTGTCCCAATAATCTCTTGTATAGAAAGAAAAAAACAAAACAAAGCCAATAAAATCTTTTTGGTCCAAGAACATAGTTTGGATTTAGTTATTGGTAAGAATAGTAAGAACTCAGTACTTTTGTTCATTTTTACGTAAGTCAACTTAATGGCCCAAGAGCTTATAAAGGTTGAAGTTACAGCATAAAATCAGCTGTAACACCTCCCCTCCCCACCAAAAAGAAAACCTGAACTACATAATAATAAAAATATTTTTTCTTTGTTCAGGCTAATATTTTCATGTATACTGGTTAGGATGCAGTCTAAAACTGCTGTTAAAAGAGACATAAAAACCTCTGTAGCTTAAACAAGATAGAATTTTGCTTCTCTCATGTAACAGTTCAGAGGTAGGAAGTCCAGAGCTGAGAAGGCAGCTCTACTACCATCCTCATTGTGTAGCTTCCATCTGTGTCTAAGGATACTGCTCCAAGCTTTTATCATCTTATCTGCTTCTCTGGCAGCAGGAAGGAGAGGACAAAGGGCTGGTATCCTCTTTATTTTTTTGTTTTGTTTTAACTTTTTAATTGGAGTATAATATACATATAGGACAACACACCAATTATAAGTGTTCAGCTCAATTAATTATCATAAAGTGAACACACTGGTGTAATCACCAACCAGGTTAAGAAATAGAACATTACCAGCTGTCTAGAATCCCCTCTTGCCACTACGCCTTCTACTTCTTCCCAAAGGAAACCATTAAAACTATTGGTTTTTCCACTTTTTAAACTTTATATAAATGGAACCATAAATGGAATCATGATTTTTGTCTCTAATTTCTTTCATTCAACGTTATGTTTGTGAAATTTTTCTAAGTTGTTGCTTGTAGCAGTAGTTTATTTTTATTTGTGTACAAGTGTTCCACTGTCTGACTACACCACAATGTATTTATTCTTTCTACTGTTGATGAAATTTTGGTTATTTCCATTTGATTGTTGTTCTGAACATTCTTGTAGATGTCTTTGGTGCACATGTTATAAGCATTTCTATTGAATGTATATATCTAGGAAATAAGGTATATGAATGGTCAATTTGGCTAATGCCAAACAGTTTCCCAAAGTGATTGTAATCATTTATAATCCCATCAGCAGTGTGGAAGTGTCACTCCACATGTTCATTCACTCTTGGTATCATCAGTCTTTTACATGTTAGCCATTCTGGTGGGTATGTTGTGGGTGTAGTAGTTTTAATTTTTATCTCCCTGATGATTGGTGAGAGAGCACTTTTCATATATTCATTGGCTGTTTGGATATTCTCTTCTGTGAAGTGCCTATTCAAGTCCTTTGGTTTGCCCACTTCTTTATTGGTTTGTCTTTTATTTCTTATTGCTTTACGGGAGTTCTTTGTGTAGTCTCAACACAAGTCCGTTGTCAGTTGTCCATATTGCAAATATCTTATCCCACTCTGTGGGTTGACTTTTCCCTCTTTTATTGGGGTCTTTGGTGAACAAAAGTTCTTAATTTTAGTATAATCCTATGATTCATTCTTTTCCTTTATGGTTTGTGCATTTTTGGGGGTGTCCTATTTAGGAAATCTTTCCCTACCCTAAGGCCTTGATGATATTCTCTTAGGTTGTCTTCTAGAAGCTTTGTTGCTGTTCCTTTCACATTCAGATCTACAGTCTATCTGGAATTGATTTTGGTGTACAGTATGAGGTTTTCTTTTTTCCCCATACGGATATTTTTCTGACCTCACACCATTTATTGAAAAGACTGTCTTACCCGCTGCTTTATAGTGCCACTCTTGCCTTAAATCAAATATTCATGTATGTGTGAGTCTGTTTCTAGACTCTATTTTTTCCTTTGTCTTGTCTTCGCACCAGTACCGTTAAGTAAAATTGTCTTAGTTGCCATAGCTTTTTCATTGGTCTTAATATCTGGTAGTTTCTCCTATTATTCTTCTTCCAAAATTACCTTGACAATTCTTAGTCTATTGTAAATCCATGTACGTTTTAGATTTGTTAGTTCTCTGTGGCCTTCACATAGATTTGTTTATATTTTATCCTTTTTTTCTTTTTAAGAGCACAATCCAGAATTTGCACTCATTACTTCCACCCACATCCTAGTGGCCAGAATATTATCACATAACTATATCTAGCTGTAAGGGAGGCTTGAGAAATAGAGTCTTTAGCTTGTTGGCTATTTCCCAGTTAAAACTATTATTGTGGCAGAAGAGAGAACAGATGTTGAAAGATAGCTAGCAGTCTGCCATACCATTTGAGATTCCTTTAAATTAGATGCAGTCTCATAGTTTTTATCCCTCCCCTCCCACCTCCATTGTGGCTCACTTGACACTTTGAAGCTTCTCTGGCTTTCCCCAATGACGTGCTCCCACAGCATGATAACATAGGTTCTAAAGATGGTTCCTTCTATGTTCCATAGGCACATAAATGTCTGGGAACTGCCCAGGCCAAAGTGGCAGTGGATTAATTAAGTATATTTATACATGTGACCCTAACTAGTTCTTTCTTACAAGGACTCTGGCTATTCCTGTATCAAGTGTTTTTACAGTATATAAAATTATGTCACGGATACAGCACATGTAAAAATGGTGTCTGACATTTTATCTTTGTTAGTGGTAGATTTTCCTTATTTTCTTACATTATGAAAATAATCTACAAAAGAGTAAATAATTTCCCAGGCAAGAAATGAGAAAGGAAAAATAATAGAAAGGACTAGAAAGTTTGGTGGGGTTTTTTAAAAAAAAATTTTATTTTAAATTGTGGGAAAGAACACATAAAATTTATCATCTTAACCATTTCTAAATGCGCAGTCCAGTAGTGGTAATTAATTCACATTGTTGTGCAACCAATCTCCAAAACTTTTTCATCTTGCAAAACTGAATCTCTGTGCTCATTAAGCAACAACTCCCCGTTTCCTCCTCTACCCATCCTTTGGCAACCACCCTTCTACTTTTTGTCTCCAGGAGTTCAACTACCCTAGGTACTTCATATAACTGGGATCATACAATATTTGTCCTTTTGTGACTGGTTTATTTTACTTAGCATTATGTCTTCAAAGTTCATCGTGTTGTAGCATGTGTCAGAATTTCCTTCCTTTCTAAGGCTGAGCAGTATTCCATTGTGTGTATATACCACATTTTGTTTATCCATTCATCTGTCAGTGGACTCTTGGGTTGCTTCCATCTGTTGGCTATTATGAATAGTGCTACTATGAACATGAATGTGCAAATATCTCTTTGAGATCCTGCTTTCAATTCTTTTGTATATGTACCTAGAAGCAGAGTTGCTGGATGATGGTGGTGATTTTTTTTCTATTAACATGAAAGAGATCCAATTAGAGTTAAAAAATTAAAAATCTTTTTAAAAAGCAAAACTACAAATAATTAAATAAATGATTTTTAAAAAAACCAAACTTTGTAGGTTTTTGGATTGTCACACTACTTTTTTAAAGCCGTAAGTTTTTATTTGGTATTTTCTGTTTATATCTTTGTGAATTGGTAGCATATTGCCAAGAGTTACAAATTCTTAATCATTCTTTATATGGGGGCAAATTTTAGAAATCCTTCAGAAAATAAAATTTTATTTCGATAGTAAATTTGAACTTTGAAATTTAAGCAAACAGTTTTATGAGAGCTGGTATTGAAATAGCACTGGACTGGAAGTAAAGGTTAGAGTAGAGGAAGCTTAGCAGATTAGAAATCGAATTAGACTGATTCTGGGTTCTAGTCCTACCCTCTTAACCTGTGACCTTGGGTGGGTCACTTAAACTTCCAAAGATTCAGTGTCCTCATCTGTAAAGTAGGTATTTATCTACCTGCCTCAGAGAGAACCAAACCAAGATACTGTTTCTGAGAGTACTTTAAGAGTATTAATTCCTCTATTATTTTAAAGCATTAGTAAATAAATTTAGTGATATTATAGTTTTGAAGGATAGCAGGTAATAAGTTTCTTTAATACCATAACCCAGTTAGAGTAGTGGTTTGCCTCAAATTAATATACATCAGACCCTCTTTGTAATATCTTTGAAAGTTATTTTAATTCAACTGAAAGGGATAAAAATGATGCTAAGGCATTTAACTTGATTCATGGTCACACTAAACTGAATTGTTGCCATGGAATCAGTGACCTTTATGTATGCCCCATGGAAAAATGTGTAAAAACAGAAAGTCTTACGTTTCCTCCTCAGAACTGTAAAAAATGTGTTACATCTTATAAATACTCCGTTCAGTTATAAGTTCCTTGAGGGCAGCAACCTATTGTATCCCCTCCAGTACCTAGCATTTGAAGACAGTAACTGCTCAGGAAATATTAGTTCAGTTGAACTGAATATTAACAACCATTCATAATTATTAGTCAAAAGAGAGCCTGTTTGTTATGAAATAACATTCCTTCCTTCCTTCTTCCTCCTTCCGCTGTGTCGTCCATCCTAGGCACCTGTGCACAACCTGCTACAGCTACCACCTTGTATCTGGATTTTTTTTTTGCTGTAGTTTTTGCAGAATTTCCAATCAGAGTCTGAACTAAGTATTAAAAATACTACAGCAGAGAGAGAAAATTATTCTTATATAAGATTAGGGTAAAATATATTTGTATTATCTGAGCTCGTTTAAGTGATGCTTCACCACATACAAAAAAAGTGTTTGAAACATCACAGAATTTTTGCTCAAATGTGAATTGCTTTTTGTTTTTTATTGATAAGTCACCTGTGGAGAACAAAGTGTTCACAACTTTCCCTGACTTAATCTCTTTTTATCATTTTCAGGGTCAATGAAGACATGAAATTAACTGACTTAGAGCTAGGAAAGCTGGCAAATAATATCCAGGAGTTATTGTTTAGTGCCTCAGATATATGTCATGATCGAGCCGTCAAATTTCTCATATCAAGAGCAAAGGTTAGTTGTTTTGATAAAGCTTTAGATATTTTATACGTAGTATAATTATTTTGAAGATCTGGAATCATATCCTTGTCCGTATATTCCCTATAATGCGTATTACATTTTAACACTTAAATAAGGTTAATGGTGCTGGTGTGGTCTGTTAGGGAGATGTTGAAATGTAAAATAATCCAAATAAAAGAAATAGGAAAACTTATTAAAGGATTCTTTTCAAATAAATGATTAAAAGACTTATTTTGAAATATCATACCTTAATAGTTAATTTAAAATTAGTATTCTGTTTTATATATGTTATAACTAGCCAAACAATTTATTAATAAAATTAGTTGAACTCCAATATTGTGAAAATTTTATAGTATGATCTGAATTTATTTGAGCTACTGTATTATAAAGGGGTCAGAATAGAATTTAGACATCTTAGGTGTTTTATGTTCAATTTCTGAGACTGAAGTATAGGGAAATTTCATTAAAAACGATTTTAAAATTATAAATAATATTAATGTTCGTTAAACTAAGTTGATTTTATAGCTCATCCATATTTGGTGTTATACTAACTCTCTGTCATGATTTTTGTGTTATCTTTAAAATTTAGGATGGTTTTCTTGAGAAGCTAAATTCCACGGAATTCATAACACTTTCTAGATTAATGGAAACATTTATTTTAGACACTGAACAGATCTGTGGAAGAAAAAGCATGTCATTACTTGGAGCACTTCAGAGCCAAGCTAATAAATTCGTAAACAGGTTTCATGAAGAGAGAAAAACCAAGCTCAGGTATCATTACCATGTTCTTTCTGTTCTTCAATTTTTTTCCTTTTCTCTACAAAACACAATTATATTTAAAAGAGGAAACTTAATTGGTTGGCCAACCAACACCCCTGACAAATCTTTTTCTTTTTAATTAAAGGTAGCTTGTGAAATTAAAATCACATTTCTTGGCTTTTCAAAGTGTAATTAGAATGTTTATTTCCATTAAAGTACTTACCAGGAAGATCCTAATAGATTGACTTTTCTTTTCCCACTCAAAGTGAAGTTATGTTTCATACTCTTTTTGGTTAGTTAGGCTAAGAGATAGAAAAAGAGAAATATTTTCTGAAAGTATTCATACTGTTTATGAATGATGCCAATTTATTAAGGTGTTCAGCACTTTTAAAAGTCTTATGTACTAACAACAGCAAACAGCCATTACTGTTTAAAAACTCAGCTTTGTATTGCATGAGCCCTACTTGAATTTAGCTAAGATACATGCAGTCTTTATTATTACTAAAAGACATAACAAAAGTCTTATGTACTCAGCCCTTCCTTTTCTTTTCAACCAAGGAATATGGTGTTGAAATATTACTAAAGTTTATCTTCCTTTCTTTTTACTTTTGAATAGCCTCCTCTTAGACAATGAGCGCTGGAAGCAAGCTGATGTTCCTGCAGAATTTCAGGATCTTGTTGATTCTATATCAGATGGAAAGATTGCTTTACCTGAAAAAAAGTCAGGAGGTAAGTGTTTTCTTTCACACACTTTCTTCCAATTTTATATTATTTATTCGTTTTGAAGGAATCTTTAATTTAAATATCTCTAATTGACAATGCCTCTTAAAAAGCCATGGAACTCATGTTCCCAGCTTAGTTAGTAAGTAGTTGACTGGAAAAGTATCTGTGGTAATTTATAATAATAATTTCAGATATTTATTGAGTGTTAACTATATGCCAGACACTGGACTAGGTGCTTTATATGCATTATTCCAGTTTATCCTCATAACAACCTATGATGAAGATACCATTGTTACCTTATTTAGCAATGAGGAAGCATGAGGATTAAGGGGTTAAGGAATTTTGTACAAATGATGAGCTGGAATTTGAAACCAGCTTTATATAATTTCATAGCTATGTTCTTAACCACCATACCATATTGTTTAGAAACATGTATTCATTCACTGAACACTAGTAAGCTTCTGCTATGTGTCAGATATTGAGACAGAGGTAACAGTTATAATTCTACTTTAAAAGGGCTAAGTCTAATGAAAAAAAAATATTAATCACAAATAATGTAGTAGTGATGTGATAGAGAAAACCAAAATGTAAAGAACCACAGAAAAAGAAAACTATGAAGGAGACTAAGAAGGAAGGGCCAGAGAGGTAGGAAGAGAGAAATCCAGAAGAACACAGAAGCCACAAAATCAGAGTTTCAAGAAGAGAATTGTCATTGGTATCAAATACCAGTTGGGATTCATATGGAAGAGATGCAATGACCGAGAGAGATTTTTGTATACCAGTTGAAGTGGAGTTGTCATGTGATAATAATGTAAACTTATGTACAACTCATCCTATAATACCAGGTTTGAAATTAGGATGTTCTTGAATGTTTTTAATGGAGGAGACGGTTACATTTTTCAAATCATATGCATTTAATGAAAGCTTAATATTTTTACATAGAAATATTTTTGAATCGTATGCTTCACATTTGCACAAAATGCAACTGCACTACAAGAGAAAGACAGTAAAATACAGATAGTGACCACTAGTTTGAACTGTAGGAGATCGTTTGCAATCTTAGTAATTCAGTAGAGTAACAGTCAGATTGTAGTTCAGTGCTAAGTAATTCGAAAGGGGAGGAAGGGTAGGAAGTGTAGCTTACTTTTTCAAAAAGTTTTGCTATGAAGGGAAAGTGAGTGATGAAGTGGCAGCTAGAGACATAAGAGAAATTACGGAGATTGTTACCTGAATCTACTCAGGGAGTTGAGAGAAGAGTTTTAAGGTAGGAGAAGTTGAATTATATTTTTATGCTTAACAGAAAGAGGAAGAAGGTTAATTCGGGAAAAGAGTGACACAGAGTGATTGTGGGGCAGGGCCTCTGGAATTGAATCCAGAGTTCAAAAGAAAGGGTATCTCTTCTACCACTGTGACAAGAGAGGAGGGATTCGGACAGGTGTAAAATAGATTAATTCATGTAGGGCAGAGAGAGGAATTGAATTAAGTAAATTTCTGTTGTCTAGTGAACATTTTTAGTAGATAACAGCTTGGGTGGTGGTCACAATTTTTAAATTGGTTGTGTGATATTAGCAAAGCAAAAGCATTCAAGTAGCAAAGACTAAAAGAAAAATAAAACATTCTGATCATTCTAAATCACAAGTTTAAAATTATAAAACTTATCACGCATCTACTCTTTCAAGCTATATTTGGCTGACTTCCCACTGTGTGAGATACTGTGCCAGATAACTAAAACTGACATGTTTTCTGTCCCTGAACAGCTCATGGTCTTGCAATCCACTGTCATGCAAACATAACGATTTTTGAATTAAAATGATAAATATAGAGTGATTGAATTAACCATGTATTTTTCCTGCAAAGTGAGCTATTTACTTTCTCTTTCTCTTTGGAGGATACTGACGGTAGGAGGTTTCTCTTACATATCCTGCTTCTGTCCCAATCTATTGTTTTTCCTCTGAGAGAGAAGCAAGCGTATGCTATTAGAAGTCCATTAACATTTTACTAGTTCTTACCAAGTTAAGGATCCTTGGTTATTATTCATTCATCCACCATCCATTTATTGAGTTACTAGCTACTCTGCTAGGCATTGGGGAAATGAAGGTTAATGGATAGCAGTTGATATTGAGTGCTTACTTGATGCTAGACAGTTTGTTCTAAGCACTTAATCTCATTTACAGGTCCATGAGCTAGACACTGTTAGTATGTATTCTCATTTAACAAATATGGAAACTAAGGTACAAAGAGGTTAATCAACTTGCTTAAGGTTACATAGCTAGGAGATGGTAGAGCTGGGATCTAAATTCAGGCAGACTGACTTGAGGGCTCCTTCTCTTAACTACGATGCTATGTTGCTTCTCTGCAATATAGAGAATTGGTTAAGACGCAGTCCCGGTCCTCAAAAAATTTAATGTGGCATACAGAGTGAATTGTGATTAGAAATTATATCACGGTGAATTTTTTGGCTTGAAAGAAATGAGAAAGTAGACATTAAATGTCTAAGAGCTCAAAGAGACATGAAGCTTAGGGAAGCGTGACAACTTGCCCATGGGAATCTAATTAATTTGGCTGATTCAGGAAAATAATCCAGTCTACTGTTCTTTTCACCTGAACATGCTGAATTTTGTTTTATAATGATAAGAAATACCACATGCTAAAAATAAAGTAACTTCTGGATTAAAATCTTGAAAATTAAATATATAATCTCTCCATTGAATATAGGAATTAATTTGTATTCTCAGAATTATGATAAAGAAAAGACACCCATGGGCCGGCCCCGTGGCTTGGTGGTTAAGTGAGCGCGCTCCACTGCTGGCGACCCGGGTTCGGATCCCGGGCTCGCACCGACGCGCTGCTTCTCCGGCCATGCTGAGGCCGCGTCCCACATACAGCAACTAGA